CACAGAGACTCCTCCACTTCTGTGTTGGAAGCTGCTCAGGGGACTGGTCAGCAGCGTTCTCACAGCCCAAGAAAATTGGGAAGATTTATTACCTTCTGGTGGCAGCAAATGAGCACGTTATTCAGCAATTTCTCATTACCTGGTTATAAATCTGAGCTGGAGCTCTCTCGTCATCGAGTGTCCTTCATTTTTTTCCAGAAAAGAAATTTGGATGTTCGAGTGATATACTGCTTCTTTCCACGGAAAATAAAGACTGCTAACGCCAAGCAATCAAATGCAAGTCAAAATAATTTGCTTGGCTACAAAGTAGCAAATAGGAGGCTCTTTGTTTCCCTTAAAGTCGTAAGCAAACACACCTCAGTTATGGTTCTCCAGAACTACAAAGAATAGAACTTTAGCTTGGAAAAAAACCCATACAAACAAAGAAACAAAAAACCCAAACATTGAAAAATGAAATTCTCCCATGATTGTATTGCTCCAGGACCTGCAGCTTTAATAAAAACACCACCAAGCACTCACCTTTATTATGAACTAAGAAAAGTTTTCATTGGAAAAAAAAAAACCAACAAAGAACAAGTGACAACAAAAGAAATGCTCTTATGCAACAAGACATGGAATCTGTGTCACTTCCACTTCCCCATTCTTCAACATTAGAACACTTAAAACTGTCAACAGTCCTTAACTTTCAGCTCCCAAACCAGTGTGTGGGTGTGAGACTTTGAAGCAGGGCACGAGTTTAATTCCCTTCATTCGCCCTAAGGGTGAGACTCTTCAACGTGGTTTTTTAGGTCACACAGGTGTTGCAGACCACTGGGATGGGGACATGGAGACCTCCCTGCCCCTGCTCTGGGACATCTCTCAAGGTGCATCTCTGCTGTTCCATCTCCACAGAAGCCTCTCAGGGCTCGGTGATCTCAGAGGTCTTTTCCAAGCAAAACGATTCCATGATTCTGGGAGGAGCAGACTGCAGAGCAGCACTCACAGCTCCCCAGCATGGTCTGGACACCCTGAGCTCAGTCAGGGCCCTGCCAGGTGTTGCACAGTATGTGCTGTGGCCAGTTCTAGACCCACATTTCTCCCAGAGAAGGAATGCTCAAGCTTCAAAGGTGGGAAAGCCTCCTGCTGTAATGGGAATGTGCTAATTATGTTATAATTAGCCTGGACTAAACACAGCCAAAGGAATCACTCCTGGCAGGGGAAGTGTAATCCAATCACAATCCATTAAAAAGAACTGTTGGCTGTAGCTGTGCCAACCTGTATCAGGGGTGATGGACAGACAGCCCTGTCCCAGCTCTGTACATGAGTCTGCTGCTTCCTCATCATAAAGAAAGGCTGCTACACTGGCTTAACAAAAAAGGGGCAGGGTAACAGGGACAAAAAAGCCTAGAACTGCTACCATCCAGTCTGGTGCACTCAGCCAGAGAGAAGGGAGAGCTGAAATCCCAAAAGAGCAAGCAAAATTGAAGGAGTACATGTGTGTGGTTGGAAGAGAGGAATTTGCATAGTTTTGCTTAAATGCAGCATGAAAGTCACCAGCAGAGGACAGGATGGGGCTGTGGATGAGCAGATACACGAGCAGGAACACATTTCTAACCCTGCATCCAGCTATTAGAACCTCATGGAAGAAGTTCCTCCAAAAACGACCCATGCACAGTGACACAATCCCCTCTAGAGGAAGGAAGGAGAAGTGAGGCTCTCCACCAGCAGCGTCCATCTGACCACAAGCTCTGAAAGAATCTTCATAGAATCATAAAATAGTTGGGGACAGGAGGAGCCTTCAAGGTCATCTAGTTCCAACCCCCCCACCATAGGCAGGGACACCTTCCACTAGACCAGCACCTTCTGTGTGAGCTGGTGAGTCCCCCAGTCCTTCTTCACAACCAGTGCAAGAGAGGGTTTGATCTGGGACTGATCCAGAGGAGTTTCAGCCCAAGGAATACATCCAGCAGAGTGCAGCTGGTGCTAAGACTACACAAGAAAATGGACAACAGCCCAAGGAAGAATCACCAGTCCTGAGCTGGGGCTTTGCAGCCACTCCTCACCATATGAGTGCCTCCCTCTGGCACTGATACTCAGACATAATTCATCCGATCGTGTCAGTCTCTGTGTCACAGCTCCTGTCCCACTGGCCAAGCACGGCTGAGCTGTTTCACCTCTGATGCCTTGTGGGTTCTGGAAGGAGATGGGTCAGAAAGGCATGTGAGTCTCTGTCTCCATCACTGGCAGAGTCCAAGGCATGTGTGGCCTTCAGCAGATGATAAAAAGCCCTTCACAACCACCATCACAGAGAGGATGGGCATTTAACAGACATGGAAACAGGTAATTCCATCCTGCAGAAGTTCAATTTAACTAGCTGGGGTATCACCAGCAGCCTAGATTACACAAGAAGTATTTATTCCACTTCTTTGATGTGCTTTGTACTCCATCACAAGTTCTATGACCAGGTGACCACACCTTGGTGTGGACAAAAGGAGACTTGCAGCAGTCTCAGATTCAGATTCTCTCTTCTTACCAGTACTGCAGTGACACTGGGGAGCTTGACTTGAATGGTGAAGCCCTGTCTAGGTGGACTAAATTTGTAATTCAAGTCCAGTGCATTGCATTGAGCTGCACTCCAAAAGTGACAGCTGATGGCTAGAGTCAATAGGTAATTTGAGAAAACAGAATTAAAATAGCAATTCCCTCTTGGAACTGTATCAAGCTTCTATGTAAAAACAACACACAGAAAAAGTTCTGTAAAGAAGAAAATTCCTAGTTTGACCTTGATCACAACAGCCTTTATATAGGCTGGCACATCAATTTACATATATTAACCATCTGTGTCAGCAGAGTAGGAAAAAAAGATGTATATACAAGTGGGTTTTTGCCCTAAGTAGTCAAACAGAGTTACATTGAAGGCAAGATGAGCAGTCCAGTGCAGAACTGCTGATATTAAGCAGGAGCACTTCAATCAGAAGTGGTGATTTTTTTTTCCTAAAAGACACACTCCAGCCTTTCTGCATTTCCTGGCAGGAGCTGATTTATCTATTGTAAAATTCAACAGCCTCAGCAACGCTGAGCAGCCTCTCTGAGGGAGCACGTTTTGGCAGGGCTTAAAGGGAAAGACAAGAACTGGTTTGCAAACTGTGCAGAGCTGATAGCACTGGATTTTCCTGCTTGAGCAGCGGTCATGGTCCTGCTGAGGTACAACATGACTGTTCTTGGCAGTCCAAGCAGCCAGTCCCGCCAGAGACTTGGTCTCTCCCATTTGTTCTCAGCAATTGAAAGTACAAGGAAGCTTCTCCTAGAAGTCTTTTCATTGTTTCTTTCATCTCTTCCGGTTTTAGCCAGTTTAAACATTGCCATTGGGGCAGCATTGGTGAAATTCGGAGATTGGAGGCAATGCATCATTTGAGGATAAAAATGCAGCTGGTTTAATCTCGCCTAAAGCAAACGTCAGCACCTTGCTCAGAGGAGGAGGCTGACCTTTCTTTTCCTGCATTGCTGAGGAGATGCTTCCTGCTGACAGAGCACAAATGGCTGGAGCCAGGACAGGCAGCATGTCTTGGCCTCCTTGCAAATTAGTGACTGAGCAGACGATGAGCGATCGCGCCACACGCGCGTCAGAGCTTCGGGTTTTACAGCTTCCCAACAGCACAACTCAGCTCCACTGCTCTTTTTCTGTGGGACTTTCGGTTTCCAACCCATGGCCAAATCCTGCAAACCTTTGCCAAAGCAGTGGAGAGGTGTAGAGCCTAACCTGTGTACTGGGCTAAGCCTGTGGAGTTTGGGGACGTGATGATGGCCAACCAGCTCCTGAGAGCCCATCCAAAGCGTGTTGCAGAAGGTGGAGCGCCTGTGGATGAACATACTGGAATAGGTGGAGCACACAAGGAAACTGGAAACATCCCCACTGCCTGCTTGCACACCTCAGAGGGCACACAATCTGATTCCTTCAAGTCAGTGAGGTGTGAAGCCCTGGAAGCCCAGGGAGCCACCTTCTGAGCCTCCACGTGTCACAGAAATGTGCAACCAAATAACGACAAACCAGCTCAAAAACTTACTCACATTCCTGGGATCAGAGCACAGACCACAGCTGTGAAGGGGCACAGAAACTTACCCAGCAGAAGCAAGTGGACATGATAAGCAGTAGTGACTGACTTTCCTCAAGTCAATGACTGGTATTTTCTGGTCTAGACTCCACTTTTTCTATCAGCTTGAAATTCAGAATACACATTACTGCTTTCATGGTATTTTGTATAAGTTGTTGGGCTCTGTATGTTGTCAGAAGAGAGGGTCGAAGTCCTCTCTCCAGAAACAGCATATCCTGTTTACTTCAAGTAATCCCTTGTGAAAACTTTGCATCCGACTCACAGAGCAGCCCATATGGCAAGAATGGACACAGTGCAGTAATACCAGTGACATTACCCAACTCCAACGTCCACCTTTTTTTGGTGTAAAAAAATCAGTAAAATTACTCCCACAAGGCAGGTGCAATTCAGTCCTGCTGACCAAGAACATAGTAAAAGATATTTTAAATTTAAATAAAGCCCAGTGCAGTCATCAGTCATCTGGAGTACTCACGTGGCTGTCTGGTTAATGAAGGAAACTGGAATCTTGAATGTGAACCATCACCACCAGCTGAAGGATTGGCCAGAGGAATCTCACTTTTTGGAAAGGAAAACTGCTTCAAAAGTTACCTTTTTCTGCTGTGTTAAGTGCCTTTGTAGACAAGCTAATAAAAATCTGAATACATGAATCTATTTGCAATCACCTTACTTTCTATTTTATAGCTCCCCTTAAATTAAGGAGGCAACCAGTGTTGTCTCAAAACTGTTCCAAATTCTAATAGACCTAAAATTAGCACTTTAAGTTAGACTGTGAAATTTCAAGGAAATATAAAGATGTTTTTGGCTCTGTCATTGACATTGGCAGCTTCCATTACTAGCAGGAAAGAATATGCCTGACACCAGCACATGGGTTTAAAATTAAGTCTGCTGAAAAAGGGCTGAACACCGTTCTGCTCCATATCTCTTTGCTTTATTATAATGCTCTTTAAAAGATGACACTGCAGTTCAAGTCCAGAACCACTCTACAGAACAATGAATAGTGTTCACTGAAATCAATATTCCTGTGAACTTCACAAAAAACACTGCAGGAAAATTAAAGATACAGTACTCCATTACTGACCAAGTTTCTGCTGGCATGAGAATGAAAGGGGGTTCTGCAACTAGAGGCCACTAAACCATTAGGATCAAACTCCAGTAATGGACATTTAAATGTTTCTTGATTTCTGTTTAAATCATTGATTGCTCAAACCTTTAACTGGGTCACTGAAATGTAATATTCCCAAAGTAAGGTGAGAACTGAAATACTTGTGTAGGCTGCTACTCTCCAAGAGGACCACTGTATCTTTAAATGTATCCTGGGTTAAACAAAGGTTTTATCTACACTTGTTAAATTATTGCACAGACCATTACACTGACAAGTACATTATGAACTCATGGAATGTTACAGTCTGGCCTGGAAAATAAAAGCAGCAGCATTATCCTTGAGGTCCCAACCATGAGGGAGAGCTGGCCAAGCACTTCTTGAATTGTAATCATTACTAACAGGTTTAAAGACACAAATGAAACATTTTAAAATAATCCCTAACTGCTAGGATTAGGTTTGGGAGCATTCTCCAAGACTTTCACTCTTTTCAAGTGGCACTTAGCTTGAATGTCTTGAAATTTTTCTTTTATCAGATTACCTGTAGGAATCCAGCTGCTCCATATTTTCCAAAGTTATACAAAGCCATACAAAGAAATAAAAGTCTGGAACACCAGGAAATTTGAACCACCACTGCAATGTCCAATTGTTGCAGCAGCCTTTTCACCTACTGCACCATCTCCTGGCAATTTGCTTGTATGACTTCAAATTGTGACAACAAGGAGTGGGACTGAAAGGGAAGCAGAGCCCACTGGTCACCCACTGAACACGGTGACAAGATCATTTTACAAATCACACACTCAGATTCATGGCTGTACCTTCACTTAGACAGGCAGCCTCAGCTCCAGCAGCCTGCACTCAGTGCCTCTGCTACAGTGCTCCTCATCAGGCCAAAAAAGGAGGATCTGGGGAGAGGAGGGGGAGTTAAAAAACCAAATCTGATTCAGAAACACTTGCTCCGCACATGCAACTTGCTTGGATGCATTTCTTTGAATTGCAGAAAATTCCCAGCCACCTACTCTAAGGAAAAGTAAAATCCAATAAAACGGAGGCTTTGTAAAAGAAAACGCCCTCATTTTGTCCTCTCCTCTGGAAGACATGATCAAAATGTTCAGACTCTGACAAGTCATTACAAAATACCAATTTGCCTCTCAAACTGAGACCAGCTGGCATAATAGTTTGTGTCTGCAGTTACACTTTCTGCTGTCATAATGGGTTCTTTTAATCTTCCAGTAACACCTTTCTGGAAGTTGCAGCATTTTGTTGCTTCTCTGCAGCACTTCAAAAAAAGAGATAGCAAAACTTCTGCCTCCGTCTCCTCAACTAGAAGAATCATTATCCAAAGCTCCTGCTCGAGCAGGGCCCTGGCTGTTTAATTTGGAACATAAAAGTTTCAAGAGCTACAAAAATAAAATCAGAAGAACAAACAAATGGCTCATGCCAACCGTAGCTGCAAGTGATACATAAATAAACCAGTTTTCTCCTGGGCAAAGCTCACAGCTGAGGAGAACGTGCACAAACCCCCCACAATGCTGTTGATTGAATGGCCTCTCCTGCCACGAGCTACTTCAGGAGATTTATGGAAGAGAAACTGTAATACATTTGTACAAAGGAAGCTGAATCAGCTTCGGACTGGGCAGCAGACACGTGACAAGGAGGCAACAGAGGTGTGTGCATAAAAAACCCAAAGTTATATTTGACATGCAACTAAGCTATGACAAAGTTATACTTGGAACTGGAGAAAAGAAGGAAAAAAATCCTCGTTTTACAGCCAGGCTGTAAACTTCTGCCAATGGTACCACGAGCAGAATTGTAAACCCAGATCTCTCGTGCCTTTGGCACTTCAAAAGGGTCAGTGTCAGCAAGGATGTGTTGGGAATGGCTCAGCCTGGAGGAGCACTTGGGTCCTGAGCAGCTCCAGGTCCCGCTGCAGGGGCTCAGAGACCAGGAGCTTCAGAGACCACGAGCTCAGGAGAAGCAAGAGGGGAAAAAAAAATCCCAGTTCTTGCAGGACAGGGCAAGAGAAGACTAGAAAAAATACTCTGTTCACCATCTGAAAGATCCTACTAATAGAAATACAGAACCAGGCTATAAATACAGCTACTTCTACCTAGACTTAAGCCTTTAAAATCTGCTGCTTTTGAGGAGTTCATGATTTTCCTTCCTTTTAAAACTCTTGATATTACCATAAGCTCAAAAACCTCTCTGAAGAGGAAAGAAATGATGCGTTATTTAAGTTTTGACAACACTGGTTGGTTGTTGAACAAATTAACTGATTTTAAAAAGAAAAGGGTTTTTTAGGTAAGTATTAAGATTTACAGGGTTCACAGGAAGAACTCCATGCTGGCAATAAAGCAGACTACATAAAACATGAAGTTTTCAAGCGAGCTGATTGTTTTCGTGCTGAGTGTACATTTACAACCCATCCCCAAAAATAAAATGGGATGCCTATGACACCTCTGCTGTTAAAGTCACAGTTCTTCTGCAGAAGTTATGGTTTGTGTCATGCAAAGCAATTTGCTGGGTCAAAACTGAGACATAACTGAATCTTCTGTTCCATTCCTTAATGCTGACAAGGAGTTTCTGAAGTTTCCAAAATAGTGTTTCTTTAACAAGATCCAGGAAATGTGGAGAAATGCATGACAGAGAGAGAGATACAGTTTGACACATTAAAGATTCGTTTGGAAAACATCTGCTTAAATTAAATTTTACTATTAAATCCAGACATCTACTCATCTTGAAAGGGGCTTGCTGCCAGGCTCTTCCCTCAGTGTTCTCATATTTTCCACCCATTTTGTCTTGCTGGAATCTTCTTTATAAATTTGTTTCACTGCCAAGCAGCAGAAAGACTTCATTTTTATCAGAATCAGTACAGTAGATGAGTAGAAGGAAGAAAGAGAAAAAACAGACCACATAAAATACTCAAACTGGGGCAGGGTGTAGATGAGGAAGGAAAACACCTCAGCTTTGCTTTTTGTCTGTGTAGCAGAGCTGTACAGTGTAAACTCTTAATCCATTGAGTAGGGCAAGTACAGCCATTCTGGATATCCCTTGATAGCTCAGGTCAAACCTGTAAGTTTACACAAATAATTATCTAGCTCTAGATTCCTTATGAATTCTAAGGGGAGAAAATAAGTTTTAAAATACTAAAAAAAAAAAAAATAAAATAATGTCATAAAGTTTAAAAACAAAGCTCCAGTAAAAAATACTTTAAAGACCATCTTGAATTGCCAGACTTAATGTAGTCAGAGCAATACATAAGGCATTTCAGCTAGATCTATTCAACTGCAGTTTGCTCATTTAATAACTATCTTTTCAAGTCACACCCTGTCCTTTGTTTGCATTAACCACCTCAAATCTCAAATTAGATGAGGACTGGATGAATGCCTATGAACCTATACATGCAAGGTTGTGCCATGAAAGTGTCCTTGCACTGACTTTTTTCATTTGAACATTCGTGTTAAGAAAGTCACTATAGCCAACAGTGCAAGGAGAAGACAGTTATCACTATCCTTAAAAAAGGGAGAGCCAGATGTGATAAAAGATTCAGATGCTACTTTTTTTTCCCCTAAACCAGGATATAAGAAAGGAGAATGAATGGGAAGCACAAAAGTAACAGATCAGTAAGGTCAACCATGATACTCCAGTTGTGTGTAAAACTTTCTCCCCTCCATCAGCCAGCACAGCCTCCCTCTCCTCGCTGTGCAAACCAGGGTTTAACAAAGTTCTAAAAGTCATCCCATGCATTTTTTGTTGCCTTAGGAGGTTTCCTGGTCTTGCTCTCCCCTCCTGCGTTTTCCCAGTTGGTCTCCCAATTTTCCCAACTGTCGCTGTTACTGTTCTTGTTGGAGACCGTTCCCGAGCCCCACACGTCCCAGCTGTCGGAGCTCTTCTTCTCTGTGGAATTGTCCACATAGGTCCAGCTCTCACTGCTTGGAGATTTATGAGCTTTTGGTGGATCTGAGTTGCCAAAGGTCTCCCAGAAGCTTTGATCTACAGTATTGTTCTGGTAGCCCTCCCCTCCACTGTTCTGGTAGCTGTCTCCCTCAGCTGGTCTTTTGTGGGGTGGAGGGGAGGGAAAGGAAGGAAGAAATAAATTAGTTACACCAAATATAATAATTTTAAAAAACGACCACAAAGAAAACTACAGTTCTACTGCCCTTTGGTTAAACAAAACTGAGGATAAAGGTATAACTAAATATATTGCTCCAAATGGCATAAGCTTATAGTCTAATTCACAGATTTTCTTACCAGCTTTAACAGTCCCAGGGTAGGGAATATGCATTTGGAGCAATTTTTAAACCAAGATGTGTGCCCTGTTTTGTTCTCAGTTATAAACAAATAGTTATATTGAATTCCTCCCATATTACATAAAGCAGGACTGCTAGCAAAGACAGAATAATTTCTAAATATCAAAACATTACCTGCCACTAGACTGCTGAGAACGTACAGGAGATAAAACTATGCATCTAAAGAGACACAGAAAGTAACCACAAAAAGTTACCTTTCAGAATTATCATCTGGTTTGCCTGAAAAAAAAGTGGTGACGTCTCGCCATCCCTTACTTCCAACTCCCTGAACCTAGAGGAAAAAAAAGACACTCCATTCATTTGGGCTGATCCAACCCCTCTGCCAGGAGCAACAGCAAAAGCCACAAAACAATCCTTCCACTTGTTGCCATAAATAGAACACATTTTCACCAGAAAATTTAACTCACAACTCATTAGTGTTTTTGATGGGCAGATTTTTGATTGATGTAAAGAACACACATTTCACAGCATCGTGCTGCTGGAAGAGCTGAGAAGCAGGTCAAGTTAAGCTTTTTCACTCATCATTGTAACATCTTCTGAATTCTCTCCTGGATTTTCTTGACAAAAATACTGGAATTACTCCTTACATAAAATTAAACTTAATGACAGCACTGACATTTTGATCTCAAGATTCTTGTAAGAAGTATTTATATTGCTATTGCTCTACAAAGCTACCTTCACTCTGTATTACACTACCCATGTAAAACAAGCCAAAAGTTAAGTCCTAGAATAAGCATGACTGCTAGGAGAATCCTTTGGGGGTTATTATAATGGACTGGCACTGGATTAGAAACACAAATTCTGAAGTGACACCCATAGATGGTGCTATTCTATGTCACAGATACTGAGGATGAATCTCAGAATTCAGCTTTGGAGTCACCGGGCTCTAAACAGAACAGGTAACATAATTCACTTTATTCAAATATGCCCAAAATCTAAGGCACTAACTAAGCTGGTATGTGAGAGAGCTTCCAGTGCTGACTTCACAGTGCTAGAAAGACACACCTTCCTATGTAAGACATGCAAGGTATCAAACCAGGTATTAGACTGTGCAGGATTTCTGTGCTTGGCAGCCACAGGCAGCACTTACCACATCACCGAGCAACGAGAGCGAAAGAAGACAAAGGAAAAGGTGCAGACCATTAGTAAGTTTAACTGTACCAGTGTAACACAAGCTGTCTCCATATTCTCTCTCTTTTTCTGTTTGGGACACTGGCTGTCTTACACCATGTCCTCACTGAGACTGCTGCGAGGACCACACCACACCCGTACAGCTTTTAACATCCCTACAGAAGGACCGTCTGCTCAAAGTTCCACTTTCCAAGTTTTTCTCTTCAACACAAGCAGATGAAAGCTGCACTGTGGTTTTTGTATCACTTTTGATAAGAATATGGAGACTGGCTTGTTGTTTGGCCTCCCTGAAGCCAGGCAGGCCACCTCATACCTTGCTGGCCAACTGCGATACCCCCATGGTGACCTCCTCAAATATTTTCCCCTCTTTCACCTATGTGAATCAAAGGATTGAAAATTAGCCATAAAACAAAGTATTATTGAAACTCTAAGACAGGCTCACTTGTGCTTAACAGCTGAAAACATAAAGTGTAAAAAGAAAAAACAACCCCACACTGAATCAAAATATATTTAAGTTAAAACTAACAAAGTTAAGAGATCTATAATGGAGTGAACCTTGGGAATGTGGGAATTTATTTTACAGATACACACAGTTTGAGGAAGGTATAATTATACTACTGCTGAGCATAAAAACACCAGTAAATAAAAAAAATCTGCAAACATGAAGTTTTATACATATATTTTACTGGATATAAAGATGTCTTTTAGAAACCTAGCATTTCCATTTTATTCTCTCTTCTTTATAGATGCTTATTTAAATATTAAAAGGGCTTTAAACTTTGGTCAAACAGAACACAACTGGTGCCTTTTACCAGTTAATAAATGGCAGCTGTTCCAAAGCAAGTGACTTTGTATAACCATATAGAAAATACCTATTTTAGTTAGTAACACTTATTTAGAACTAACAACACAACATCCTAAGGGAAATAGAACTACTTTTTTAATACTGAATGCATCATTCCTCATTAAATTGTCCTACAAAATAAAAATCAGCTCAAGGAAATGCACCCTAAAATAACCCTGAAAATAATGCATCTAAGCCTTTAGAAATAAGTTATGGATAATTCTAGGGAACAGAAAACCAATTAGAATCTTCTTGTGTGGTTTCAAATGCCATGTAAAGAATGGTGAATTAATAAAGGTAATGCAAGAGAAATTATTTTGCAATGTGATTAAAACATTCTTTTCAAACTGAAAATCAATCCAAATCCCAAAGTGGTGGCATTGCTTCTCTCAGGATAGCAAAGATAGTCTGCTTTATCAAAACCAGTATATTTTAAGAAAAACTATGCAGGTAAGTGGAGCACCACATTCTCAGAAAAGACTTTATCAGAATTTTGGAGCTGACCCAAAATTCTAAAGCACAGAACAAATGCAGGCCAAATGGGAAGGATGTAAAAGTACGTTTTTTAAAACATACGAAAGAGGAAGGCAACATTTGAGCCTGGGGAGAATCTCTGACTAAAATCTGTAGTATCAGTGATCACTGGTCACTTCTGAGGAAACAAAGGTTGGAAGAACATGTTATTTTTATTGATGAACTGTCTCCATTCATCTTAAACATTTACTTTGTCCCAAATTCTACCCCCAGATGAACTACAGTGGCTCAAAGATGCTTGACTGAACTAAAACAAAGCTGGCAGGTAGATGAGTAAAGCACTGGGAACTTAACACTCAAAGATACTACTACTAACATATATATATATTTTAAAAAATAACTGATTTCAATATGAATTTAGGGTGCATTTTCATCCTGTCCCATCTTCCATTATTGAAAGTATGAAATCTATAAAATGAGAAAGATTGGTGAAGGGAATTTACTCTCATTAACCTTTCTTTGCTAACATCCTGCTTTGAATTGTTTGATGTTTCCCCTTTACAGAAGGACACACTCCCTGAGACATCATAACCATTTTTCTCCAAGTCATTTACTAGTTCCAGAGTTACCTTTTCCTGTGCAGGTTTGAGAACATTTTCATTTAATGTCTGACCTAACTCTGATGCCTATTTAAAAGCAAAACAAAAACAAAGTCAGTTATAATTTCTTAAAAAAAAACCCAAAAAGCAAAAAACAATAGCCAACACCTTCTGCAGCCTCATTTCTAAGCAGTATCTCCAAAAACACAAGAAGCCTTAAGCTTTGATTCACAGAAGCAGAATGAGCTGAAAAGCACACACAGTAAAGTGCTGCAGGAAACATTAAAAGACAATAAAATAAAATCAGATACACATGGCAATAGATGCCCAGAGCCCAGGCAAAGTCTGGCCCTGCACTGGAAGCAGAAGCAATGGTTCAACCAGCAACAGCCTTGAAGACAGGCCCCTTGCTAATGCCTGCAGCTGAATGTTTGGAAGAACTGACCTCATCTACCCTTATTTTTTTCCTACTAATGCAATTACTTTCAGAATTAGATTTTTTGTGCCTAATTTTTCCCCAATTCTTCCATCTTGTAGTGCTCCAGTTGTCATCCACTGGTAACAGCCCAAGTGTTTCTGAGCAACACACAAGAGCCAAAGCTGTGACAGAAGATTTTTGTAATCTTTTTTAAAGCCCCAGGTTTGCAGGGAGAAAAAACAATGAGCTTCAGAAATCTACTGCAATCCAGAACAAGATGCATGAGGATATTGTACTTCTGAGGTATTTTACAAAAATGTAAGCCCACAGTGTAAGCTACTAAATTATTTTCATTAGACAGTGCTGACAAGGACAGCAGCAGGGTTTAGGAGAGTTTCACTTGAAATCATTCCTTTCCCTATTAACATAGTAACCCTTTGATAGATTTAAACCTTTCTTTGGAATTGTCCTATCACACTGAGTGCCTTCTGAATTATCCTGGTTAATCCAAAAGGGCCAACATGCTTGCCAGGCAAACATTATTCCTAAACATCAGCAGAGACTAAGGAAGCTTTATTTCCTAAGGGTTTATATGTTATCACTAACATTGGTCAGGCTGTGAGCCTTCATTCATGTTCTTCCTGGGAATGGATCACTTTGGAGATCTTTCCTAAGAAGCCTTTCCCTAACCCACAGCACTCCCAGATTCTCCTCTTTTCCCAACCATTATCTCCAGTACTTCTGCTCCTTACAGGCTCAAAGTTCTTGGAGAAGCAAAGGCTTCCACCTAGTGAGAAATGTGAATGTAAATCATATAAGGCTTGTTTCCACTGGGAGCGAGGTCAGAAAGTTTTTAAGAAAAACAAGAATGGGGATTTCTCATCTTTGAATGAGTCAGAGATCTATTAAACCTGGCAAAATGTTTATGTTATATAATAAAGAGTGTAATACACTCAGAGTAACAGTTCAGGTGTGCTAAGTGGAGTCACTGCTAGAATTAGGAAGAATTCTTACATCATCCCTCTTCCTCAAGCACATAATTTTGTAAACATGGAATGGAAAGATTTGGGTACAATTGTATTTTCATCTGAATCACTTCTTCATCTTTCCTATTGTTGAATTTAGGATAGCACTGTAACCACCATTATGAACACTACATTAAGAGTCTACCTTCCCACAACACCCCAGCTCCTGGCACACTGCACTCCTGGAGCAGGCATGCAAAGAGAAATCCTGAAATCATCTGTGCTTCTGGAGAGCACGGACAGCAGTAGAGTCCCTTTTCAGACTGTGCAGAGCTTGGAGATCTCTGTCCTATTTGACCTATTTTAAGTAGGTTTGAAGAAATATCACCATACAAAACACACAACATTATTCTAAACAGATTTGATGTAAGGCAGAAAAGGAAAAGACAGCTCAGGAGCAAATGCACATATTCAGCACGAACAGTGACAAGGAGTCCATGCACAAGAATATATGTGAGGGTGTTACCGGCTCTGGCTGCTGCTTGTAGCCCCAAAACTTTACCCAGAGAGCAAAAGAGAAAGAGCAAGGAAGGTAGAAGCAGCTTTTAGCAACAAATTGGCAGCATTTTTTCAGGCAAGTTAAGTAGCATGAACCTTTTCCAACTTAAACATCTACTGACAAGACAAACAGTGAAATGTGTTTGGTCCCTGGGCACCAAATACACTTTTAACCAATATACCACATCTGTTCTGCAAAGGATCAGAAGTTTCAGGAACAAAATTTAAGCTTCAGTAACACAGTTTAGATTCTAGAGCACCATGTTGCTGAGGTCCTTGTCAGTAGATGTGATGAGCTTTGGCATTTAATATTGTATTTACATTTGTTAATAATACTAAAGAAAGAACAGCTTCTAAAAGGGAAACTGCCAGAAGGAGTGAAAGAGGAAGAGCTGTAGAAAACTTTGTTTTTCTTACATAAGCCAAGCAGCAAACACTTTAAAGCTTTTAAGTAGGAAGTTTGGGTGCTTTGAGAAGACATTTTTATTGCAAACATGCCCAAATTTGGCTATTTGGAGGATTAATATCCCAGTGTATACACCTGTCTGAACACCAACACCTGCTGCTACACATTTGTTTTGAGCAACACCATCTATGTCTATGAGAAAGCAAACCAGGCTAATGCTGCACATACAAAAGAGTTATAGTTCAAGTAAAACTCCTGTATCATCTATTAATATATTTAAGTCCTGTCTCACTCAGAACTTTGGCAAATTAAGAATCCTGTTTTGCAAATCTTTACATTTGAATTTAAAACTTTTCCATGCAAATAGATCTTATGTCAGAGCTCTGTGTAATTCAGGTCTGTCTCTGTTTTAACCCTAGTTTGAAAAATTAAATGCTTTTGTCATAATTACTTTTTAAAATACACACAAGCAAAATTATTTATTAATAATATTAATATTATTAATAATATTAATAAATTAATAATAATAATAATAATGTCACATTTGTAACTTATTAGACTTTAGTAATGGGAAGATGGCTTGCATTATAATACATCACCATGGAAAGTGCTTCAAGATAGACCATATCTAAGATTTACAGAAGTAAAATGAGGGTATTTTATGTCTGTAAGTTCTACTGCCTTTCCAATACACCCAACAGGTACAAAGAGCAGAGTAGCACTGTTTATTTCTTGCTTAATTTGATCACTGCACTTGATTGCAATCCCTATGAAATAAAAGCTAGAACCTAAACATTATTGTGGATTATGGAGGAAAAATACACTGGTCTGTTGATGATCAAATCTAAATCAATTGGTACAGGCAAATACATGACATTTAAGGACAATTACAGTGAATAAGACAGAACTAAATCTATAATCACCTTTTGACTTGCTTGAGATCCAAATCTGGTAGCCTGATAGTGAAAAGAAGTAAATACATTCAGATTTATCAGGAATAAACCCTTCAATTTTTAAATACACACATTTCCTCTCCAAAAGGAATGGAACCTTTGGCAGAATTTCACAGTGAGAAGAGAATATCCATATCACCACCTCTGGCATTCCAGATTGCTCTGGGGAAGCATCAGTCTTTCTCAGCTTGCAACAGAGGGAAGAAAGGATTTTCAACCTAGACTAGAACTTGGTGGGCCAATGCAGATGAGTATCAATATTTTTGTCTCTTATAATGTCACACAAAGTAAGATGTAATTGTTATGGTCATGGAAGTTTGGAATAATACTAAGCAAAACTGAAAAACAGTTGCAATGCATTATGTTCAAAAAAACATTTAGTCTCTTTCTATCATCATCCATGTAAAATGAAATAAATTCTCATTTCCTCTGGTTTTCATTTACAGTTAGTTGAATGATTGTCATTTAAGTGTGCCAATTTGCAGAACATGCAGAGCATGAAGACCATTCCTCAGTTTTTCCCAAATCATCCCAGTGGACACAAACTCTGCCCAACATGCTTTCTATTTAGACTGACAGAAATGCTGTAGATAGAGAGAAGACAAAGGAAAGAAAAATAGAAAACTATCAGCAGTTTGTAACTTGGTATCAAACTCCTGCTGAAGAATCCAATTTAGCCTTACTTGGCACCAACTGAAATTTCTACTTTATAACAAAACTTTTTCTTGACTTCTTTCTCCTAAATCCAGTGGATAAATTTACAAAAACATCCATCCAGAAACACAAGAAATGATCATGAGATCTGCAAACTGTATGTAACTAAGCCCTAGGCCAGGAAAGGAAGAGCAAAATTTAGTTTGTCCTGGTAAACCTTCTCAAGTTTCATCACTATTAGAACACTAACAGAATCTCTGACTTTACAAGCATTACCTAAAACACGTTTTATTTACTTACACCCTCTTTAGCAGCCGAGGCAATTTTGCTTGCTCCAGTTGTGAAACTGCTCCATCCCTTTAAAGAAAGCAAGGAAGCCATAAGCTATTTGTGAATAATAACAGCAAATAATCAAGTGCTCTCTATAACAGGTTACATTAAGTCAAAATTCTCCAATACAGCTTGTCCTGTAGTCGTAAGAACTACCTGCGAGTGAGAGAAAAAATCACAGCCTCTCATTTACTGAAATTAAGTGATGAATTCCCAGTATTTCTGTCAAACCAGCTGCAATTTTGAACAAACCTGAGCGTTTCAGATGTTTTTCTTCTAAAAACGACTGCATGTGTGGGGAAAAACAATTCCATGCAGCGGAAGGAAAACTGGTTTCCTCACCAGGATGAACCCACATGCAAGTAACTCAGGCTCACAATAATGGACTGAAATCCCACTGTAATGTGTGTCTGTGGTCACACGAGGGCATTCCAACCAGAGACTCAGGAGATCTGGACTCAAATAAAAGGTTCACACTAACATGAACACGGTGTCCTCTCTCCTCTGCTGCCTCAGCACATCTGCAACACATCACAGATGTGGTTTCTAATCTGAACTCTCTGGCCTATAAACTATGACATACCTAGAAAATATTCAGCAGACCTATACTAACTACCCAGTGGGATCACCTGGAATATTGATCAAAGGCTCAGGCATTATCTATCTCCATTAAGTTCTAGTGAAACTACTTATTTATTTTTAAACAAACAACAGAACCTGGTGTGGATATTCAGGCCAATAAGCCTCTATTGAAGGCTGCTGGCCACTAACCTTGGTAGAAAACCTTACTGCATTTCCAAGTGACTCCAAATCCCAAACATGGTTCAGCACTGTTACTTTGCATCCTATCAAAGCACCAATATTTCCCTGACTGCCTCTGACTTTATTCTCATTTTCCTTCAACAATGCATCTTTCACTATCTCTGCTTGAGTCACAACAACTGTTCAACCATATGCTGTTATCTCTTCACACGCTGTCACAAGTATTTCAAATGTTTTCATCACTGCTCAGGGCTTCTGGCACCACAAAGACACACATTTTCAGTTGTTTTCCACTGAACATACCTAATATGGTTAATTGATTTAGAGCATTACCAGCCTACCTGCTTCTCCCTACAGGTAATTACTTTTTATCCTTCAGCCCTGTTGAGTATTATTTCTTGATCCATTGCTGCATCCTCATTTCCTTAGTTCTGTGAACTGATACCAGACATAACTTAAGTTTTGCTCAAGTTTCTCCCCTCATTTCACCTTATAAAGTCCTCCAGTATCTTCTTCACTCTTTGGGAATACAACCAATACTCTGCATTTCTCTGTATCTACCTGCAGTCTTCAGTTTCTCTTCTCTGTTTATATTCTCCCAAAACAGGGGATACAATGGAAGAAAACTGAGGTCACAGAAAGCTTCCAGCAATTCCTTACCGAGTACAATGAAGACATAGCATTATTCAGGAAGTCATCCTCTTTTTTTGGAGGGTTTACTGTGTTTCCAAACCCCACGTAGCGATTCTCTTGGCCACTACCGTAAGACAATAAAGGAACAGTATCTGTATCAGCAAGCATTCATTAAAACTATTAAACAAAAACTGAAAAGCATGAAAGAGTGACAATTGTTTTTACACCTGGGAAAAAAAAAAAGTCCTAAAGCACCTAGCACCCAAAAAACAAAAACACTCGCTTCAGGAAGACATAACAACAACAAGGATCCACTGAGAAATCCTTGCAAATTACAGTATCCCTGTCCAAGCTAATGATTCTCCAGGTTTAACAGATCACTGATATTAGAAAGCTGAGTAAATCCTAATAAAATGATACATGAAAATGAGAAAAGAAAGAAAGAAGAAAACACTTTTAGTTTTATAAATCCCTCTGTTTAACTTAAATCACTGTAAGATACAACACACAAACAGAACTCCCTAGTTTGAAGCCCACCACAGTAACATTTGGAGTTACAAGCTTCAGTGCTTCAAATATCTTTGTTATACAAATGCATTAAGAGACACTTTCCTTCATCTTACATCCCAACATATTTATAATACTAACCCAGTCATAACAGCTCACTAGTGAACCAGGATCACAGTTGTGCAGCTGTAGTACAACATCCAAGTCTTTGTCATGCCAGAGAGACAGGCATTCAAAAAGGTCAGTAAATATTACATTACCCTTGGTAGGAGCTGACATCATCATTTAACCAGTCTTCAAAAGCCTTGTCAGAAGAGGCAGTTGCAGTGTGAGATTGTCCAGCAGAACTTCTGAAATAAAAGACTGAAGTAGTAAACCATGTAAAGCAAATCTCCTCCCAGCTCTGCAATGCAGCTTGATGTATATCATCATAATACAGATGAAAAACGGATTATTTTTTTTATCTATCAAGTAAGGAACTCTAATGCAACCACTAAAAGCCAAGAAGTGCTTGTTCCTTTGATTTACAACTGCTTTTCAGTTAACTTGGTCCTTAGGGTGCACAGAGTAACAACCACTACATGCAAAAGCAGAAAAACAAAACTGCTGTGGTCCAGCTTTGATGCTCCTGTTGGTAACGAGCACCACAAGGGAAAATGCAGTTTCCTCTTCCCTGGCATTCAATCCCAAACTGGCACACCACCTGTGAGTGACACAAATGTTTCAGGTGCATTACAAGTCAAGATAAAACCAGCCTGGCTTGTCTGCTGCCCTTGCTCACTTGTCTCTGCCATGGTTTAAGGTTCAGGTGGAGGAGGTGGGAATTATTACACCACTATCAACAGAATAAAACCAGCAGACATTCAAAGACCAGGTTTTGACCCTGCTGTATCTGTAGCAACATTAGATAAAAGGATACCTACCGGTGAGTGGAAGAGAGAGGCATTTTAGGCTGAGGTGGGGTCCAGTTTCTGGCAGGAGAAGTTTCAATAGACCACTCCTTGCCTTCAGCCACTGTAGCTACCTAGGAGAGGTAGGAAAAAAGTCAAGAATGCCAGGTCAGAGTTGTCATGCAAGTCATACACTGGTTCTGTATCATGACAAGTCATTGTTCCAATTTGCAGCCAGCTGCAGAGATCAATTAATTTGTTTTCCCAAGAAACTATTTTTTTTCTGACTCCCAGGCTGTGATGTTGAATTGAACACTGGTTTTATTTCAGGCAACTTCTTCCAGCAGGCACATTTGGTTTTCAAAGTTTTCAGAATGGGGGTGGGGAGTCTTGTGGTTTCAATTCCTCATCCCCACCACAGATGAAAGTGCAATATTGTCTCTAACTTGGTTTTAGAGATAGTTGTCCAGGATAAGGAAGTTGGTCCCAGAAAAGCTCCTGCTTCCCCAAGACCCTCCATCCTAACTGCACCTTATCTCAGTCACACACTATCACTCCTTTTCTGCCCAATATCTGAGACATTAACTCTTCAGGATTTCAGTCTCTCACACTTACCCTTTCAGGAACTATTGCAGAGGTTTCAAAAATTGCTACTTGCCCCCCTCTGCCCTTTCAAAAACAAGTGCTTACGAAGCACTTTGACATTTTCAGATCGTGGGGATGAGAACACACAAAACTGAACTTACCTGGTCTCTGAAGAGAGCTGCAGCTTTGCTGTTGTACTTCTCTTGCATTGTCCAGCAGGGATCATAGTCATCTTGAGACTCTAAGAACTGTCGAAATTTGCTGTTACCTCCAGCCTTCATTTTCTCCAGCTCAATATCCTTCCACTTGTCCATGGTTACAGAACGTACAAAACTGAAAAACAGGGTTGTTTGATTTTTTTTAGTTTTAAATCACAGCTTGTTATAATTTCCTGCTGTATCAACAGGGACAAAAAAAAAAGCTTATTACAAGCTATCTCAAAAGTTGAGAGTACAAACATGTTAGAGAACACTCTCCAAGTACAGAAAGACAGATCATCATAAGAAGGTGGGCAGATCCTCACCAAAATAAGCCAAAATTGTGTCATTTATTGGCACTTTAAGGAGACAATCAACAGAAGGCAAGTGACAGAAAAAGCAGCTTTCTTCAAGAAATTTCTTTCAGAAATTAATCTAACCCACCATATAACAGAAATTTTGGCCATACTTCACTCTGCAATTTTTTCTGTCTATTATGACAGTTACACTTCAGTGACCTGCAAAGACACCTCCTTGTCTCAGTCCCTGCCTCTGCTCCCAGTGACCATCAGGTACTGGACAGCTCAGCTGCTTAAAACAGCCTTTCCTAACACCTGAACCTCATCCCAGGGCACTTGTGACTGCAGCTGGCATCTCAACTCTGCTTTCAGTCATAAATTCTTGCTCAGTAAACTGTATTAAAACATACAAACAAAACCAAACAACCTCCCCCACACACAAAAGAACCCCAAACAGTGCCTTGTTGTTAAACACAAGGTCACAAAGGAGGTGAAAAAGGCTCTTTAAAACTTGTAACTTGACTGATTTCTTTTTCTTTCTCTTTCTCCCTAAAGAAATAGCCTTCATCACACCCTCATCTCGGGAATTTAGTTTTTTCTTTCATGTAACATATGGAATAGTTCCAAACTCTTCTTTTCTATGCTATTTCTACTCAGTAATGAGCTTCAAATCAGCCCTTGTAAAGCAAAGCACGTACTTCTGAACAGCCCCCTTGCTTTGCTCATTTCCCCTCTAGACTTTTTTCTTCCTCATTTGAGTAACTATCCCATGCTCTGCCCCTATTCCACATACACACACTGTGAGTCTCCAGACCTATTCCACAGATTCCCATCTCAGCTGAGGATGTTTCTTGGACAACAACAAAAATTATAATTTATATTACTAGAAAAAAAAAAAAAAAAAGAAACCTCCTGAACAGAATAAAGCTGTTTTGGAAATTAGTTCTATACCAAACTAATTACAGACAAGGCACAGAGAGCAAAGCCCACTTTGGAGAGGAACATGGAGCAAAACTGCCAGTGAAATGTTGGATTTGAGACATTCTATACATTCCAAACCAGCACATTCTGTTCACAGCCACGATCACTGAGGTAACCCAACCCAGTCTGTGTCTGCTTGAAAGGCTGACCTGAGGTGAACTCCCAAGCCTCGGTGTTTTCCTGAGCACTCAAGACAGATCCAAATTCCATAGGTCACACTCACCCACTGGGGGTTAAATGCACCACATTCAAAACAGACCTGCGAGAGAAAAACAATTATCTCTGCAATCAGCCATCACTTGTCCAGGTGAAGTTTTCACAGTCCAGCTCAAAAAATCAAATCATGAAAACATTACACGGCCAAGATGATTTCAGAAGGGAGAGTTCTTAGTGTTTGGAAACACATTCCCTGAGAGCAGAAGCTTCCTTTGAGTATTTATTTATGCTGCATGTAAAGAAATGCTCATTAACTTGGATTATAAAAATTACTGTACTGACTACTAGAAACCAGTGAGGAAATACAGATGAGCAAATGGAAATTACTGAGCAAAGAATTCAATTTGGTTTCATTTCCATATTGTCTTGAGGGAGGAGAAAGTAACCAAACTGAATTCTTGAGGTTTCCTTGGCAAAATAAAGATGCAACATTTAAGGTTTGGAACATTTATTCAGTCAGACTACAGTTTGGCAGTAAATGATAGCAGATCTAAACAGAGGTTTTTTCCTTAAAAATAGCTTTATTGCTCATACAGTGCAACAACTGAAGTTTTATGACTGGAATCACCACTCAAGGTTTAATGTACTGACATGAATAAAACTGAACCTGCCCATGGACTATGACATTTAAGGTTGTGTACAATCAAGTTACTTGAAACAAACAATTTTAATTAAGCTGTGCCCAAGACACCACTTGTTCAAAAGACTCCAGAGGTTTCAGAATAACTAGAACTTCTAGAAGACTTGTGCCAAAGATGAAGCAATGTATTATAATACATCTATGAATAAAAGTTACTGGAACTAACAGAAATATGAGACATCTAAATTCATATGTTAACTATTAGTGAGCCATACTATAAAGACAACAGCTGTAATAGACCCCAACCTACATTTGGAGTAGGTAAAAAGAAAATTCAATTCTACAAAGCTAATCTAAAGAAAATCATAATTTTCTCACATTGTTCTCATCTTGTGCTCTGACTTCCTTGAGAACTTTCCTTGTTCTTGGACTTGCCATGATTCTGCAAAGGGAGAAAAACATAAAACTGAGTCACAATCAAGGATTTGATTTCAGTAGGATGTTCAGCCCCTTACAAGCACATCTCTGTGACAAAGAGCTTGGAATCCAAACCACTGACTCACAAGAAGTTGCAGAGGAAAAACAGACAAAACAAACCACCATAAACCCCACAATCTTACTTTTCCATTTACTTTGCACTTTTTGGGAGGTTTAGTCATCTCAGTTCCAAAATTGGAAAGCTGTAATTCAGCCATGACTGAAAAGGGGTTGGGGGGTGATAAACATGGAAACTCTTCTATGTCAAGTATTGTATCAAAACAGACTCTACTGGATGCTGCTCCCAGACCAATCCACTACCCTTCCTGAAAGCACTTTACCCATCATTACACAGGATCACATGCATAAAACTCAACAGACCTAAGCAAAAAATAACAGAAACTCTCACACTTAAGAGAGCTGAAGATATTCCTAAAAGAGCACTTTGCCAGAAGATACAAAAAAAAAATTCGTGATTTCCCAGAAATATTGAGTTAATTATCAATGCAATTCTAAGAAAACAAGGCAATTATTGGGACCTTTCACAGAAAATAGAGTTCTAGTTCCAACAGTCACGTCTTGCTGGCAGACCACATCATCCCACTCTAATTTTTATGATGCATGAAACAGCAGGGAGCAGAGTCAAGCTACTGCTAAAATCCCCACTAAGAGAAAAAAATGTGATTCATACACAGTACACAGCCTGGAAAAGCCCAAAGTACACAAAAACATTCATGATTAAAAGAAATATAGTGTAGGGTACAGCATAAGAGTACAATTTAGAGAAAAAAAATCGTATTTCCAACTAGTAGTACGATATTTAAATTAAATAAATAACATATCTTCTTTCTTTTTACTTCCAGTCCATCTTTTCATTTCTACTCCAGAAAACAAACTTTTAAGATGTAACAAGACAGAAGTCACCAAGTTGACTGGAAACATCATAAGGCAGTAAATGTCAAGTTTTCTAGTCAGTCCAGATACAAAGCATAAAACAGCAGGCTGATATTTGTATCAAATACTGGTCTGAGAGGGAAAAGTGCCTTTATGCAAAGGCCTGACAATACTTCACTGTGCTATTTGGCTAATCAGTCCTAAGTCCTTAAAATATCAACAGAATTAACAATCTTGCAATAATTTTAGAAGGTAAATGATTAACTCTTCCATAGAATTTCCACAGCCCCAAGGGATGGAAGGAGAACATATCTTCAGTATAAAAAAGAAGGTTGTTATAAAAAGAAAAATGCTACAGGTAAAAAAACATTAAATTTGTATGACTGTGATATCAATTTCTTAGAAATCCCCAAAGCAGAGCAGCCTTTCTGTGATCTGCAACCACAGAGGTACAACAAATACAGTTATTTGCAACACCATCTGACTCAGAAAGAAATAAGCTCAATGTTGTGCCTACATATCATCACTGTTAAAAGCAGAAGTTATTTGTAGCAGAACTCACTGCCTTTTATCTAAAGTGCTTATTCCTTTGTAAACATCTTGTTTGTAAACATTTTCTTTTGTAAATAAACATCTTCCGTTGTAAACATTTGTTGACAAATACTTTGTTCTGTGGAATTTAAGGGACTGTTTCCACTGATGTTTAGAATGTGCTGCCTTTCAACCTTAATCTGTATTAGACAAGCACAGGTAAGTTGTGAAAAAAAGTGGTTTAGACTGGAAAGGTTACTACAGTTACGGGTGAGTAAAATCTTCCCATCGTCCTGCATCAAAATAAAACCCAACTATTGTTGTCAGTAATCAAACAGAAATTGTCTAACTTTCGGAACAGGAAAAGTGTGGCAAGCAAACCCTCATATAATGGAACACAGCTTCTCCAACAGCATTCCAATAGCATCATTCAGTGTCCCAAAACTTACTCATGTGCATGTGAGGAGGGAGATAGCACTGCACATAAAATGCATTTGCTCATGTCCTAAACAAAGACCATAAACACATTTACATGAATCGAAGTCCATGTCTTCAACTCCATTATTTGCCCCCGGTGAGACAAGGGAAAATCCTTCCTCTACAGCACATAAATTAAGTAAATAACTCAGCAAGAATAGCCAGAAAGACAACAGTGCACACTCCAGGCCCTCCTCTTTGCCGTGACTGCTATACTCTCTTTGCATGACAACTCCTCTTCCTCAGCAATTCCTGTGCCCAGTGGCTTCTTGTACACTGCTGACAACTTCCAAGCTCCTCTCTTTGGCTGGATGCTCAATCCCCTTACCATTATCCTTCCATTACCATTTTCCCTCCTTTTCCACAGGTTTTCATTCACAATAACCAACAAAGGCAATCTATATGCAAAGGCTTTCCTGCCTCAATGGCAAACGAGAATTGCTAGAGGTGATCAGGAAAGCCTTTTCCCATTCCAATTCTGCATGCACCAGGAATTTGTCTAAAGAGTAGAAAGGACATCCATCCTCCAAAAGCCAATATCCAGCCCCCTTCAGTGTTTACACACAGCATGAGTTTCAGATCCCCAGCTCTAAGCTGACAGAGGAAGCAATTGCTTTTGGTTCTGCCATAACTGTGGGGTATTTTTTCTTTTATAAAAACTTTTTAAAGGAAAGACTTTGGCCAACTGCAGTCTGAACACATACCCATTCCACAGGCACCAAGTTCCCTGACCAAACCATCACATCTGCCTGGTGGGAAGGCAGAGCTTCATCCATACCATATCACCCAAGAAAAGCAGGAGTTGACTAAAGCCACCCAGCTTGTCACCTTCTTCTCCTCCACCAAAGCATTTGGAAATAAAGGAGAAGGAAAAAAAGTCATGTTCTAAGCTTTCTAAGAGGTAATCTCACTAGAGTGCCTGGTTTGTTTCCAATTATTTTCCCACAAAGTTTTAAGTGTTCAAATTATCTTTGTTTCCACCCAAAAGCTGAGCCCTGGTAGCTGACTGGACACATAACCACTGTGCTGTTTAAGTTTCAGGAGTAAATCCTGAAGAAACAGCTGTGCAGACACCTTAAATAAATAAGCATTGTTTTGTAAACGGACATAAGCAGTAATGAAAATGTTTAGGAATAATTTTTCACTGAAGAATATAAATATTTTTGCCTAAGGGCTCGAAGTCAGAAATAGACAGCTTCACACAGACCAGTATCACACTCTTATTCCCCAAACAATCTGCTTCCAGAGCAAAAACCAGACATATACCGTGTGAATTTCCAGGTTAGGAATCTCTAGTTTGCTAAAAACAAGCCAAAAGGCAGAAGTGGCCTCGACACTTTTACATGGAAATGTGACATAACAGGACTTTGCTCCTCTGATGTAGCAGGAAATTCACAGCCAACGTGGAAAGAGCTTTGCAATTCAGCACGTGAAGAGTCAGCGGGTGACGTGGTCTGTGTGACTCCGTGGTCCTGAAGGCTCCCTGCGAATTCCACCAGGACAAAAAAGGCCCCAGAGGCTGAAGAAACCCTTCGAACCACACAGTGCCCCCACCTCCGCGGAGCAGGCACGGTTCACAGACACACCGGAGGTGCTGCCAAAGCGGAGCAGCCTCACACCTTCAGCCGCCTTACCGGGAGCCCGCAGGGCCGCGGGGAGGGCGATGCCTTCAGCCACACCTGGATCCCAGCGGAGCCTCGCTCAGAACATGGCCGGGTTCCGGCCAGCGCTCCGGCCTCCGCTTCCTAGAGGGGGGAAAAGAAACAACGCAGAAATAGGTGAAATGCGGGGCAAGGGAGATGCCTCCTCCCCGCCACGCCAGCCTGGCACCGGCCCCACGCCCGCCCCCGGCACCGTCCCGTGTGACAGCGCGGGGGCCGGGCCCGAGCGCCGCCAGCAGAGCGGGGCCGGGCTGGGGGGAACGAGCCTTGCCGGGACAGCGAACCTCAGCCCGGGGGAGCCGCGGGGCCGGTAATCGGGGCGCCGCCGGCCCCGTTCGTTATCCCGATCCCGATCCCGATCCCGATCCCGGTCCCGGTGCCGGTGCCGGTCCCGCCCGGCGCCGCCGACGTTGCAGGGCGCGAGGCATTGTGGGTTAACCCGCTGCGGCCCGGACGGGGAGGGAGAAGGGTGGCCGGAACACCCGCTTATCCCACTTTCTGCGCTTAAAGGACAACCCCGGGGGCTTGGGGATGTTGGGGTGTTTCAAACCAAGAAAAACCGGAATAAAGCTCTAGGATGAAGTTGCGCGCGCGCTGCGCTCGGTGCAGTTCCAGACGGCAAAAAAAAGCCCGGGGTGTATCTCGGGACGGGGGGAGGCTGCCCAGAGAGGTGAATTATATCGAATTGTGGGTTTTCAGAGAGGCCACGCGTTGGTCCCAGGCCCGGAGACACGTTGAGGGGGTGGTTTGGACCCCCGGCCCTCCCCTGGTGCTGGGGAGCAGCTTCGCTTCCAGCTCCGCTCGGTGCTGGTGGGGTCCCAGCGGGAGCACTGGGTGCGGGTTGGGGAACCACAACATAAGAAGGATCTAAAGCCATCTAAAGAGTGTCCAGAGGAGACCAAGAGGATGGAGAAGGGTTTAGGGAAGCCATACGAGTAGCAGCTGAGGGCACTCGGCTTGTTCAGCCTGGAGGAGACTGAGGTCAGACCCCATCAGGATCTGCAGGTTCCTCTCGAGGGGCAGCACCAACCTCTGCCCTCTGTGACCAGCGACAGGACCCAGGGAACGGCCTGGAGTTGTGTCAGAGGAGGCTCAGGTTGGGTCTTAGGAAAAGGTTCTTCACCCAGACGGTGGTCGGGCACTGGAACAGGCTCCCCAGGGCAGTGGTCCCAGCACCAAGGCTGCCAGAGCTCAAGGAGCGTTTGGATACAGGTGGGATTTTAGGGTGTCCCGTGCAGGGCCAAGAGTTGGACTCGATGATCCTTGTGGGTTCCTTCCAACGCAGGACATTCTCTCCAGAGATCCTCTCAAAGGTGAGGATGGATCAGATGGAAAAAGGACCTGGAGCTGCTTTGTGGTGCCTGGAGGCACGTGCCAGGAGAGCACATTTATGCTATTGCTAATTTATTTTTAATCATCAGCTCTAGGCACAGAGCAATGATTTAGTATTTACGTATGAATCCCACCGAGACAATATGCTGCTCGTTTCAGTGCAACTCCTTGTCTGGCCTTCGTACTTAATAAGTAGGCTATTATCTTCCTATCAGTGCATGGGAGATTAACGGGAGCCATTTTCATTACCATTAATGGTGGCTACATATAACACCCTCACATCAATGAGAAGATAATGGGCCCTTAAGTGTGTGTGTGTAAGGAGGAGAGAGGGAGGGGTATGGAATATAAAGCAGACTCGCCTTAAATAGTTTGCTTTTCCAGTTAAGGAGAAAGTGATCTCTTCTGATAAGCACCATCATTTTCTGGTAAACATGAACCAATGGGCAATGAGGTTCCCATTACACAGACGCTGTATTATAGGGCCTAATGAGAATATTAATCTTAGTTTTCCCACATAATTGGTAGATAATCCAGTGACAGGTGTTGGTGTTGGCTCTGCAGCAGTTCTGGAAGGGTGAATGTGAGTTCTCACAGCCTCAGGAGCAGTGTTGGGTGGTATCTTTCATCTGTTGTGGTGCTGGGCTGGGAGACTGATGCCTCCCATGGTCTTTATTTACTAAACTTGCATGTTCACACTCTGGGCAGCCAACCCTTGTAGTGGTGGCTTTGTCTTTCTGGGACCAGAATTGCTTTAACCAAAGAAGCACAAATAGTGCTTCTGTTTTGTTGTAGTGATGATATTGCAATTTTCCTTGGACCAGGAGTCATCCTTAACCCCTGATGTGCAGTGAGCAGCAGACTCACCTACATGAAGGCTGCAGGATGGGACTACCTGGTTTGCAGTAGGAACGAAGGGACGCCACAAACATTTGCCTTTCTCAGCAAGCAAATAAATGCACGCCATTCCCTGTCCAGTTTGCACTGTTCCAGGAATTTGGGATGGGTGCATAGCTCTCTCCCCATCTCTGCAATGTGTGACAAATATCTATTCTGAGATAATAGATAATGCCAAGAAGAAACATTTACAAAGGCACCATGCGTGCCTTTCCCTACTGGCATTGTGTTCCCTACTTGTTCCCTTTATCTGCATATGAACTGTTTCTACCTTGAGACTAAATGACAAATATTTTTAGCACAATTGCCATTGTTATATTTGTTATGCCCAATGTCAAGAACATATGAAATGTGACGATAAGGAACAAATTGCAGCATAACAATAATGCAAGGCAGGCACAGTTTCTTTGAGCTGTTTTCCATGTCGAGATTTTGCAGATAGAAATTATTTTACTTGGCTTCAAAAAAGACAATATACAAACATGTAAAGGGCAGCCTGATTTGAGAGCACAGAAAACAGCTACAGCCCAATTCCACAAAGATTTCATGAACATGTGCATCATAATTGCAGTGAAAAGTGGAAGCAAGTGGAAGCTTGCTAAGATAAGCTACCTAGTGTACAGTTTTGCTTGTAAGTTAATGATTTTATATGATGGCTTTGAAACTTCTTAGGTAAAAAAATAAATCTTGGGAACAGGATTTAAACCAAAGAGCACTCATTTTCACTTATTCCTCTTTTACAGATTTACTAAGCTCTTTCTAATCTATTAAGAAGACTAGATTTTGGCTATTAAATATCACAGTCCCTGACATAAAGGAAGTGGCATTACCACTTGGTTTAAATTACACAGAAAATTTTGGAAAAATGCTCTTCTAGAATAGCTGGCAAAATGAGCTTCAAATATTAAAGGAAAAAGAGATACCACAAAACTTTGTTTTGACTTGTTTACTGATGCCTATGTGGGCTGAATACTATATTCTGTACTAGCAGCACTTATCGTGGACTGAGAAGACGTGGATTTTTATTGCCTTTTTCCCTCCCCACACATCTGAGATTAGCCACTATATTAGGATGTGACTGCTTAAATTGAGGGGGAACAAAAGGAAATGTAGATACCCTTGTTAGATAAATCTATTTAATAAATCTGAAGAGTGAGGAGTGAGGAATGGACCTGTTTGCATGATAAATGTCACCATTCGAGTTCTGCGTTGTCACTGCGTATGACTCATGTAACTGTGGGAATAACATATAACTGTGTATATAACTGTGTGAATAATAACAGAACCCTGAACTCAGCCCTTTTAGCACCATTAGAAATCTCATTCATTGATGGGACTGGGTGGTAACACCCTTTTCCAGGAGGGTTTTTTGGTGCTTCTGTGTGTTGCATGCTCTGAATAGCAGCCTGTGAACTGTGAGCAGGTTGTCACCTGAGCCACCGAACTCTCGATCTCATTTTCAACTTAACAGGCTTGAGAGTTCAAAGTGACTTCAGGGGGTGTCTTGTAAATCTTGACAGAAGCTCGTTCCTGCTAACATTATGTCACATTAAAAAAAAAAATTAGAAAAATAATGTGTGAAATGTATTCTGCCATGGGATGAAACATCAGTTGTTACTAAATGTTTATTTTTTATTATTGTTTGTTATGCTGAATGAATAAGATTTATTTTTATGAATTATAGCATTCAGGGCTGTTGATATTCATTGCATTTGGCAGCCACAGCATAACAACCTTACCCAGCTACAATGAATATTGCCATTAAGTTACAGAAATGCCACGTGGATGTAATAAAACAATCTCTTCCCTCTTGTTGTGTAAGGGAACATTACTTTTTCCTTCCTTTTCAGCTGAGAAACCCTTGTATCAGGGCTTTTCTGATACATTTCCTCAGACCTTTCCTTAGATTTCCTTAGACCTCATTCCTTAATTTGACACTGACACAAATCTGTAATTCCATCTAATGACCAGCACAGCCCTGCTGGTGGTCAGGCACCAAAAGCCAGAGTTTAGGCAGGAGTTTAGTCCTACAACTGAATCATGGAGTCCTGCCTACACCATGGACCACACACCACAGCCTCTGGCTCTGAAATTCATGTCCAGCTCTTCAAAACACAGACAAGATCAGGACAGTAATCAACCCCCATCCTTCCATTCCATATTTATAGGGAATTCACTTCTGATTTGAGCTCCCCATGCCCACTCCCCCATGCAGCTGGGAGGGCATTTTAATGTGTGTGTTTCCACTACCCATCAGGTTACTAAGACACCCTTTCTTTATACTTTTCCACCTCATCACTACAGCTGAAGAAAAGCTTATGCAGGTAGTTGTATTTAGAGACCCCCATAAGTCCTTCTACCTGTGCACGTTTTGTTCATTTCAGAAATGAAACCTAATTTGGAAAGTTTTCATATAAGGCAGCAGGAAGCTTTACTCTGATATTAAAACAGGAAACAGAAAAGTAAAAACTTTGATTTGAAAAGCAGCTGTTACTACACGCAGCTTAAACTCTGTGTTAATGTCAAGTCCATGTGTGTCACATCACAGTTTGTCTCATTGTCAATCAAAGTGGGCAGCTACTATGGTCCAGGCAGGGTGAAAAAGCCTGGAAGTGCTGCTACCTGCCTGTGTCTACTCTGTGGATATTCAGAATGAACTCTGGGAGGCTGGTTCAAGTGGCTTATTTCTAAGGCAATTAAGTCTTTGTAAAGCAAATGTGTGTAAAAAATGCTCCTTCAGCCTGGTGGCACCTGACACTGCTGACTTCTTAATACGCATTAGCTCTCACTGGCTTGGGATTGGAAAGAATATCACTGAAAGCACGGCAGAAAAATAGCTGGGTTTGTGTCTGTATGTGTTGGAATCGCTTCTGACTGTACGGTTCACACCTTCCTCGGGGCAGGACTCACACGCCGGCTCCTGACACCGCACGCCCGTGCACGCACTGCTGCAGATGTCCTTCAAAAGACACGCTCAAAGAAACTACTTGTTATTGATTTCTTCTCCACTGCATCACATGAGCCTTGTAAAATTGGCTTGGGGAAGTCTGTAATCATTTGAGAGGAAAAAATGATTCCGAAGGAAATGGGGAGGCAGTTTTCCTAAACGAGAGCACCCTAAGGCACTGCCCGAAACTGGAGACCGCACTCACCCTTCAGGCTCTTTTTTTTGGTCATATCATTTGAGC